AACTTTCTCTGAGGAAGTGATAGCTCTATGTGAAAATATCCTGCATCCTCCCTTCAGTTTCAGATTGTAACATTTTCATGACTCCAAAGGTATCCCAAATTTGCCACAGACCCCTTTTTAGCGGTCACGAGATTCAAGTGTCTGGAGGAGTAAAGGGGCAGGAGGAACACGGTAACTTTTGCCAAACACAAACACGTAGATTGAGTGGCAGGGAGCGCTAAGGCCCGGTAAAGCCTGGCTTCTGCTCACAGAAGTGCATCCCCATTGGAAACTGTGGAGATACCTAGTTCCTCAGCCTAGCTCTTCAAGGAGAGAACCGAGACAGAAGGTCAAAGTTGTAGCTGTTTATGAAACAAGTCCTAAAACAATGTTGCCTTCCTTTATAGCTTCCAAGCTTTGGAAATGCAATCAGAAGCAAATCTCCATGGTCATTTTTCCTTCTGTTTGAAGACTCACTGAAATTGGAAACTCTCTGCCTTCATTCTTAAATTAATAGGGCTTCAGGGATTTACTGTGTCATTACACACACTGGCTAGATGAGTGTGGGTCTGAGGGAGCAAGTCCACGGAATCACTTTAATTACTGTCTCTGTGAATGCTCTGCATACTTACTCAGTTCCTCGGCGACTTCGTCAAGACAGATGTCATTATTCACAGCGGGGTTGGGATAGTTAGGATATCGTGCTAAGAACTTATGACACAGCAATCCTAAACTTTTCTCTTTTCGACTTGGTTGGGATTTCTCATATTCGTCTCCGGATAAGTGTTCCTACAAAAGAAGAGGTAAATAACGTCTGAGTTGGAAATAAAGTCTGACAGGTTTATTGGGGCCCTCTGCACTTGAGGGCTAACACGCTTAGCTTCAACATCTGCAAAATTTGGGGGAAAAAGATGGGAGCCAGTATAAAACCGCTTGGCAGATCTAAAAAGGAAGCTTGAACTGAAAATAAGTCAAAGGCTCAGAATTCCTGGTGCTGTATTTGATGCAGTCCAAACCTTTCCTGTGCTCGGAAGCAGGCTAGTAAGTCTGTAGGTGGCAATGCTTTATATTACTGGCACTTTTGTAACAGCTACCCCTCCCTACACACACACACACACACACACACACGCATGCACGCACGCGCGCGCCCACCAGTTTCCACCCAGTCTTTTGCAAACCTACATGTAAACAATCTTTGGCCTCAGGTAATCCATTCCTGCTGTCAAACAACCCTCTTTTCTGATCTCTGTTTCGGATCTCAGGGCTCACAGCACTGATGAGCATTTTCAGGTTGGCTGTTGGTGTCCACGGTTCTCCCTGGGAGATTTCCTTGGGCTTGGTGGGTGTGGTCAAAGGGCCAAAGTCAGGCTGGATCTCCGTCAACACTATATTTGCTGCAATGGATTCCTTCAGAGGTGTTTTCATGAGTCCTCTTTTATGTGGCTCAAAAAAGAGATTTTCCTGGTTTAAAACAAGTAAACAATTAAATCCACTATTAAGCAGGATTTATCAGATAGCTTTCGATCCAGAAATTGTAAAATAAATAGAATATTGCTAAGGAAAACATGCCTAATGAGGCTGGAGAGTCGATTAAATTAGTAACTGTCTTCCAAAGGTCACTTGACACTTATTGTCTTTTTACTAGCTAAATTTCCATTTTTAATCTTGCAGTAAAGCACAGACTTAAATTTTTCTTATGTTCCAAGAATTAAAAAAAAACCTCGAAGGCCTAATTTTAAAACCTTTTTGATATAATTTTTGATGTAGAGAAATGTTGCAGGTAGTATGGAGAGTTCTCATATACCTTTCACTCAGCTTCCCCTAATAGGACTGATAATTTTAGGTGATCCAAAACTCCTAGGAGTGACTTTCACACATGACACTGCAATAAAGCCTATATGGCAGAAACCAAGTCCCGTTCCTCTGTGTGTGTCTGCCTGGCCCAATGGCTGCATGCATGGAATGCTCAGTCAAACACCATTGATGTGGAAGAGTCAGAAAGCCAAGGAGACAAGGGTGAGGGCTAGCCTATGGTCATACTTACAGGCAAAACCTAGTAGGGAGGGGTACCTGGGTGGCTCAGATGGTTGAGTGTCTGCCTTCGGCTCAGATCATGATCCCGGGGTCCTGCATTGGACTCCCTGCTTAGCAGGGAGCCTGCTTCTCCCTCTCCCTCTCCCCCTGCTCATGCTCTCTCTCTCTCTCTCTGTGTCTCAAATGAATAAATAAAATCTTTAAAAAAAAAAAAACCTGGTAGGGAGCAAAATCCAGAGTGCCTAAGAGTAAAGGAAAAGTCTTCTCTTTCAATATTTACCTCTCTCACTTTATTATTTTTTTTCCAAGACTTTATTTATTTGAGAGAGAGAGAGCGCAAGCAGGAGGGAGCAGCAGAAGGAGAGGGAGAAGCAGGCTCCCCGCTGAGCAGGAGTCCAACACAGGGCTCTATCCCAGGACCCCTGGATCGTGACCAGAGCCGAAGGCAGATGCCTAACTGACTGAGCCACCCAGGCGCCCCTAACTCTCTCACTTTATAGAAGGAAAAATGGGGCCCAGAGAAAGAAAATTAGTTATCCAAAGTCACAAAGCTAGTTCCTGGCAGAGGCAGGACTGCCTGAGACATGAAGGTAAATTAATAGCAGCATAAATAAGACGAATGAGACTATGTTTCTTCTTCCACTTTTGGCCACTGGGGACTTCACACATTCTTACTACCTATGGCTATTTTAGAGAAAATGTTTGGAATGGCAATAAGTGAAAGAAGACAGAGACTCACTTAATTCCTCAGTGACTTTAGGAACAAAGATTAATGGGACTGTTTAACATGTCTATGACTCCTTGGGATTTATCAGGTGCTTTTCCATTTGTAATTTTCACCAAATCCTGTAGTCCTATTCTGCAGAAGAGGAGACCCTGGCTGAGAGAGGTTGTGCAGGACTTGAACCTGAATATCCTCAATCCAACTATGGTGGTCTTACATGGAAATCAGTGTGATGGATACAATGGGGGACCCTCCTAAGCATGTGCACCTGGGAGGTACAGACCCAAGAATGGCATCTCTCTAAAGGCTGCTGTCCTTTGCCTCAGACTATCAGAAAAGATAGCAATTCTCTTACTTGACTAATATCTAAACCTTCGAGGAACTTCGCATTTTTCCTTTTTTAACCTATCAGTAGTGGGACACCAGTCAAGATACCCCTACTGACAATTCTTTTGTTATTTTACAAAATGTCTAGCTCACAAATCAAGTGTTGTGGCCCCCAAGTTTAAGAAGCTGCCGATTTGGTAGAAAATTATCTTCAAAAGGAATCTGATCTCAAATCATGTCAAATGCCCTCTCTGAATTCTAATTGTTCAAGAATTCTGAGAAATATCATAATGCAGCTAACAAATTTTATTATTCTTAAAACTACCTTTTCTCTCTGCTTATCTCTTTGAGATTTCCATTTGAGATCAAACCATTAAAAACTTTGGATTACTTTACCTCTGGCCAAACTCTTCCCCTCGTTAAAAATTAAATTTCCCTTCCTTCTGGGTTTTTACAGAAGGTAACTAAAAAGGGATGTGGCATTAATAAGATATTGGATATGGAAAAATTATGGGGTTAAATCAGGATGATATTGCATTTAAAACTGGGATGATGAATACTAAAGTTAAAAAGGTACCTTTTCATTCTCCATTCTGTAAATTTTTCATACATTTAGAGTTTCTTTAAGAATGAAAAATCTGGAGTTTCTCCCAACACCCTGATGGTTTAAGTAGTCCAATCAGTTCTATTAAAAAGTTTATTTTCCTTAAAAAGAAAAGGAAATAGAAAAAGTTAAAGAAAAATAAAACCAGGAGATCCGTTGAATATTCCCTCATGGACACCACAGGCCACTTAAACAAAGACTAACGAAAAATGACAAATTACATTTACATTTTATTCCCGACCAGAGATAGTCCTCCTGGGCGGAGAACTCAATCAAACGCCAGTAAATTCCTTCAGCAAACCGAGCTGCTGTCATGAAACTTAAAGGAAACCACAGAACTTCCAGTGACAGTCCTCTCCCACCTTTAGAGAAGGCGCGCCATTCTCCGGACCCCACCAAATGGACCTTAGTAAGCACAAGCACCCACCTGTTCACAGGTCAGGGCTCGGGACTCAGCGCCCCAGCCCTGGTTCCGGCTGAGCAGACACAACCCCAAGCGTCCCGACAAAAGTCTGCATCTAGATGCCTGAATTTTTCCCCTGACACACACGTGCACAGGGTCAGCAGTAAAGTCTCGGGAGATAGCTTCATAGGAAACTTCCAAATTCAGTCCTTAAGCTCCAAAAGTACTCTGGGTATTTAAAGAGCGCCTTGTGATTAAGACTTTTTCCTTTTTTTAAGACATCCTTAAAGATGCAAAGCGCTGGGTACTCTCAATTCGGTTGGCCAGTTCACGCCACGATGTTGGATCTTACCAAGGAGGCTGCATTTGTTCAGTAAAGCAACCAGGTACAGCCCCCCCTGCCGCCACCCGCTCCGCGCCCCGCGCACTTCCCCCTTCGCCCGGCCAACTACCCCTCCCCCCCCGGGCCCAGTCCGCGCGCCACCAGCCCTGCAGTTCCCGGACAGCATCTTCGCGGTTCCCAGGGCAACGATTCCTAACCAATCAGAGAGCTGGACGCGGGCCTGCGATTGGTTGGCGGCGCCAGGGGCGGGTCCGGACCTTCCGCCTTCGATTTAAAAATTTGGCGCGGAAAGCAGGACCGTGGCCGGCACCGCCCCTTAGCTGCGCGGGGCTTGAGCGCGGGCAAACCCGCGCCCGGAACCACTGTATCCCCGCCCCTCCCCCTCGCTCGCCCCCTCCCCTCTGCGCGGGAGCTCAGCTCCTCCCTCCACGGCCCCCGGCGGAGCGAGAGGCGGGAAACGGCCGTCTCTGCCGCTGCCCTCCCGAGCCCTCTCCCGGTGCTGGGCCAGCTGGGCGCCGCATCCCTCTGCGTCCCGCTGACCTGTCAGTTCACCTCACGGTTGGAGCCGGCGGGGGCTGAGCGGGGACTCCTCGGCGCCCCTTTCCCGCTCAGGTCCGGGAGCCCGCGTGTCGGGCCGTCAGTCGGTCCTCAAGCCGCGCCGAGGTGGGTGCCGCGGAGGGAAACGCCGGGACCGGGACTGGCGGGCCGGCGGGCGGGCAGAGGGAGCGTGACCGTCCAGGAGCAGTCAAGCCCCCGATTTGAAATTAACCCGCTCCCGGCGCGAGCCGATCCCGCGGGCTGGGAGGGCCGCTCCCCTCCCCCACGCCCGCTCTTCCCTGCCCCGGACCCCGCGCGCCAATCGGAGCCTCCAGAAAAGAGCCGGCGGCGAATCAGGGTGTAGGCACCGCCCTCCGGTCCCGCCTCCACTCAGAGTTGGGGGAAAAGTTCAGCAACTTTTTTTTTTTCCCTTTTTTTTTTTCCGAACACCCCCTCCCCTTGCTAAAGTTGGGGAATAAAGTTTGGCCCTCTCGGGGCGTGGGGGCTGAGACGCGGGCGCTCTGCGATTCCCAGTCAGGCCGTCCCACTCCCTGCCTAGCTCCACTCACCTGCCCTCCGGACCCCCAGCCGGGACCATTCCCCCTTCCATCTCTGGCATGCATTATTATGCTGCCCACCACCTGCCCCATGGCTTCTAGGAACTGGTGTGTAGAGGGAGAAGCTTGACTAACTGGTGCCCAAACTCGATGGGCGTGGGGTCTCGGCCGAGCTGTGAGAACTCAGGTGTGGGAGGAGGTGTAGTAAGGTTGAAAACCCGCCAGGCCTGTTCCGGGCGTCCGCAGTGTCCTTCTCTCTCGTGGTCTCCCACCCGCTCCTCGCTTTCCCCTCCCTTGTCGTCTTCCCTCGCTTTCCTCTCTTTTTCCGGTTTCTGAGTCTCGGACAGCTTCAGCATGGAATACTGTAGAGTTCTAGATTAATAGCAGGATTGGGAGACGCTCTAGTCCAAAGCCCTCGTTTTGCAGACAGAGCTGCCTTGCCTGTGCTTGGATTGTGTGCGCCCGTGTTGGCTTGCCCCGCGGTTCTCTGCCTTAGAGCGTTTCCCCTTTTCTGGGGACCTGTGCTGGAGTTGCGGTACGGCATGTATTGCCCAACCGCGCCTAGATCAGGGCGCCCATCTCCCGACGGTTTGGTTTGAGCTCTTCCCCCTCTTTTGTAGTCTCGCGTCTCTAAGTTCCAGCAAGGCCCACGTCCAGGATCTCCCAGGCTCGCTCATGTGTCAGTGAAGCACCAGGGCTGACTTGCAGCGCGGGACATTCCCATATTCCCGAACGCAGTATAAGGGCGGGGTTGTTGTGATATAGAGGCTGGGGTCGCCCTGCCGCAGCGACCGACCGTAGGGCCTGGGGTCCGGTTTGCGAACGGTGGTTCTTTCTCCCCGCGAATTGCGACCCTGGGGTGCGCAGGGGCTGTGGTGCCCCTGTCCTCCCCTTGCCGCCAGCCGGGGGTCACGGGCCACATCGACTTCAGGCACTTCTACTTGAAAGCCCGCCTTTCGGGTGCTGTGCAGAATGTCTCAGATTTAAACTAAAGCGAAGGTCATTGGGCAGAGGTCTCACCACCGACAGCACTAAGCAGCTGCTTCTTCTTGAGCCCAGGTACACCTTTTCTGGAGCAAGGTGTGCTTATACATGCATCCGCAGAAGGGGGGCGGATGGTGTTTCTGCTTTAGCCACTATCTGTTTCAGATTGTTGCCCTCCCTGCCCCCCATCCCCAGCGCTTATAGGAGTGCTCCCGCTCCCCTGTGTTCGGAGGCGGTGACTAACCGGTTCATACCTGATCTACATGGCCACTGATGCCCCAGGGGTCTGAGTGCCAAGGACCTGTAAGGCAAACAGTGCAGGGAGCAGCCACCTCTGTGGTGCACAGATGGCATCTCATTTAATACTCAGCACAGGTGTTCAGCATGGGTCAGGAAAGTGAAGTAGCGCATTTTACAGTACCCGTCCCTAAGTGGCAGGACTGGGATTGGAAGCCAAGTCTGTTTACTCCTAAGGGCTTTCCACTGAAAGCTATGTTCTTCAGGTGCCGGTGCCGCCCTTGCCTACTTCACAGGATAGTTCTGTCCCACTTTATAGAGAAGAAAACTGAGGTACGAAAAGGGTTAGGTGATGGCCAAGTTAGCTATAGAGTCAGAATTGGAATCCAGGTCTACCTGCTCCCAGTTCATATATCCAATTTCACTGTCACTGTTCCTACGGAAACAATGTTGGTGACACCTGAGACCAGTCTGTAAGCATCTACCCCTCCCCATACCCCCAGCATAACCAAATAATAGGAAAAGTGGGATATAGTCATTCTTGTTTGAATGACAACTGTCATATCTTACTGAAGCATGTGAAATTAAAATCCAAGTCACTGACTGATGAAAAGTAGCTCTACTAAGAGTGAAATGAACGAGTTTTAAAGTCGTAACAGATCTTTTATGTAAAGGTAATGAAAAAGCAAGCTGAAGTATTTCCACTCGACACTGCCTCATGTCTTGATGTAAAATTCAGCACGAATATAAAGGGAAGCTTTAATGTTCACTGCATTGCCGAGAAGGAAGGAGGAGGGGACAGGTTTGAAATCTTTTTTGTTACTTCCCCATCCAACATGTTTTCCGTTTACTAGTTATAAAATCCAAGGGAATATTCATTCGTTCATTTTGGGTCTTTCGTTCACCATGTTGTGTAATCTGTGTCTCACCGAAGTTAGACCAGTTTTTCAACTCTACGCTTAGTGGTTTGCACAACGTGGAGGGTGAGGTGTTGTGTAATACACTAAGCACTAAAAAGGGAGAAAAGAAGTAAGGGGGAAAGATGAGTGTCATCTGAGGTGCCTAGATTCAAAGGACACGCTCAGGATTTGGGAATCCTGTTTTGTCATCATCACCAGAGCCTCCCAAGGGTGGTGGGGTGTGAAAAGAGCAGCTCCCCGCCCCCAGCCAGGCGGGCCCAGGGCTAGAGAGGGAGGTGCTCTAGCTCCTTGTCTCCTAGACCTTTTTTGTCTTGCCGCCCCACCTCCCAGGTCCGACCCAGTGGGGCAATGCGGGGTTGTGCTTTTTCGGCAGCATGAGTTGGCAGAGCCACCCTAAAAGAGCTGTCTAGAGCTCTAAATGGCACAAATCCCCACGTGCTGGATTAGCTCACAGCTGCTCACGACCAGATCTCAGTCCTCCCGGATTCTTTTAACTAGTTAGTTACTCTGCCCCCAGATGAATTGGGCTGGGTCCAACCTGGGCAGGGTTTAAAGCAGGTGGATAGAAGGGACGCAGGAGGTGGGACAGCCTGGAGCTGGCTTGTGCCCACCGTGGAGCTAGATTTGGTCGGAGCCTGCTGGCAGCGGCAGGCGGCTGGTAAGAAGTCCCTGTCCGCTCTCCTTGACTTCCTTTGGGCAACCTCATTCAGCGGATCAGCCCTGGATGGATATTTGCAGCCCTGGACTCAGCTGCAGCAGCAACAGTTGCTTCCATATATCGAGCAATTACAGCATCTAAATTTTTTAAATGCCTTGGGGTTAATTGAACACAAAATACGGAGAACCCTTTTATAGAATTGGAGTCTGAGTTCTGTCCTCGTTGTATTACTGTGGCATCTGATCTTAAAATTGTCACAGAGCTGAGGATCATGTAGTCTTAGTGCTTATTTGTAGATTGGAACCCATTTTTTTCCAGGTTCTAGAACATTAAAAATGTATATATATATATATATACCAAAAAATGTATATATACAGATTCCGGGAGGGGGGCATTTCTTACATGAAAAAGTCCCAGTCAGTGGAGGAATCCCATAACCTCCTTGATCAGCAATTATTACCCTTTGTTTGAAGTCTGGTAACAAAGGGTAACTGTTCTGATCCCCTTCAGAAGGCAGATTCCTCACCTCCTGTCTTGGTCACAACCTTGTCCATTCATCTCTGTAACAGAGCCCTCCTATACCACTGTGAGCTCCTGGAGGGCAGGGAAAGGGACTTCCTTATCTCTCTCTCCCCCCAGTGCCCAGCTGGGTGCCTGGCCCAGAGCAGGGGCTTGATAAATATTGGTTCATTGAATAAGGCCCTAGTTTTGAGTGCCATCTCACCAAGCCCAGAGGATGCCTTGTTTTTTAACCTCTTTATCATCAGGGCCAAGTTCAATGCCTGACACCTACTTGGTTCTCGGTGTTGGAGAAAATGAACTCATAATTACCGCCCTTTAAATTTTTTTTTTTTTACTTTAGCCAAATAGTATTTCCAACCTCTCCCATACTCGTCACTCTGTTTTCTCTATTCATTTACTAAAGCATAATATCCTGAATGCCTACTCTGCTCCCAAGCCCTAAATGAGGTGCTCTGGGTATACAGGTGAATGAAAGAGGCAAAGTCCTTGCGCTTTTGGAATTTACAGTCAAGCAGTAGAACAGTGCCTGGCACAAAATGTTAACTACTATTATTATTACTATTATTTTGTTTTTCTCCTATAAACGTGAGACCTCTCTGCTACCCCTCAATTTAGCACATATGACTTTTTTCTATGTTCTTCCTCTATTGTACTTACTTATTTAGTTAGTTTTCTGTAGGTGTTTTCCTTCCCTGGGAACCCACGTTGTGTTCTTTCCTCCTTTGGGCCACATGTATGGGTCACTTGCCCTGAGCCCAGGGACTGCTGGGTATGGTAGCTGCCCTCAGGTCAACAGCAACAAGGCCAACTTTTCACTTACCACTCTTCTTTCTCTCTTTTTCTTTTCCAGGGACATGGCCTTCATTTGGAGAAGTTGTTTGCTTTTCTGAGCCTTTCAGACTGCTGCTTCAGAGTCCCTGGAGGAGGCCTGGTGTCTCCTGGAATGATCAGGGAAGTCAGCTTAAGTGAGTTAGGTCAAGCTTGGCCGGCTCGCAGTTGTGTCCTGGAGTGGGGAGCCGGGAAGACAGAGCAGGTTCCTGATCAGCCAAGGCAGGGTGGGGGACATCGCCCCACAGGGTTATAGGCAGTCACCGAGCCCTCCAGCATCCCACTTCTTCCTCTAGTAGGTATCTTCTCCCTCCTTGGTACTTGTGAATTCCCCTTAAACTCCTGGTTTCCAGGATCTAGTCTGACCTAATATATCCCACGATACCCAGATATCACTGGGTAAAATTCAGCTGTTCACTGTGCTGCTTTATCATACTGAACAGAGATTGACTAGGACATACATAATTCATTTGGTTGGCAAAATACTTAGGATCTTCTGAAAAGATGTAGATTGCTCCCCTCTCAGCTTTAACTGCAAATGCTCAATAAAAACTCACAGTATTTTTCAGTATGGAAATCGGTTGCAGTAATTGCATTAGAATCTGCCCACAAAACGGATCGTTTTACATGTGCTTTTTAAACAGTGCTAAGCTTTGTTCCAAATTCAATCTTTGAAATAAGAATCTGGAATTGTTTTTAAGTCTGTTTGAATAATGCAAAATGACACTTTCTTTTATTAAGAAAGGGCAAGATACTGGTTAACCAAAATTTTGAGGTATTTGTTATCTTGATGTCATTGTGAAAATGTCCTATCTGTGTCATATCCTAGACGGCCGCCTCTGAGGGAAACTCGGGGTTTGGAGAAGGGAGAAGGAGAGTCATCTTCTAGTCCATTATCTTCTTGGAACGAGGATAGGATGTAGATACAAGTCAGGCCTTTGGAGGGAAAGAGATCTTGATTCAGAATCACCTCATCATGACATTTGTATGACCTTAGGTAAATTACTTAACCTCTCTGAGCCCCACATTCTCCTCACTGAAATCAGGTTGCTGTGGGGGTAAAATGGGATAACGGACGTAAGAGACTGAGCACAACGTTCGCACATTAGGTTAAGTACTAAGTGATAGTTACTGCATATTATTATAATCCAGGCAAATCAACATTCGTTTTTGTTTTTATTTTTTCTGGTTGTAATCACTCTGGGGAAAAAGATTCCCAGGAGCCAGACTGTTTGGCCGGGAAATCATTCCTCCTGGCCACCCGGGTCTGCATTTTCTGCCCTCTTCTGCTACCTCCCTCCATCCCCTGCTACTGTGTCAGTGCTCAGCTGTTGGGGCAGGTCTTTGGAAACCTACAACCACTAGTCTGCTTCAGGTTTTTTTTTTTGGACTGAATTTATAGAAATGCTTGAGAAAAATACATTGAACAAGAAAAAAATCCTCTACGATAACATACTCTTATCTCTTAGTAGAATTAGTAAGTGCATCATCATTTAAGGTTTCTCGTCAAGTTTGTTGGCTCTCTTAGTGCATATTGCCTCCCCTGCTCTCTGCTGTTCCGTATCTCTTCTCCCGGCACATCCACATCTTAATTCCTCTAAGCACAGTCCAGGGCATAGAATTGGATTTGGTTAATACTGGCCAAGTGGCTTAGAACCCAAGGACTCTGGCTCTAGCCGTGGCTGTGGCACCTGCTAGTTCTGTGACCTAGGGCAAGCCATGGACCTCTCTGAAACTCAGATTCCTTTTCTGGGAAAGGGGCTGGAAATGTCAGTGACCATGAAGACTTCATTGATGGTACGGGACCAACTGAGGCGACAAATGTAAAAAATAAAGTTTTAAAACATTAATTGTTATTTGATTATAAGGAAATCGTTTTTTTAATAGGCTCCAACATCTTGCTAGCTTATTGATTTCCACCATAGGAACTGTCATGTGCTGTGTGATCAAAGACACGCCACCCAACTCCTGAGCTGCATGTGTCCCCTGTGATATGGGGGGAGCAGACTTGCTTCCTTGAACCTTCCAACGTGGTATGACTCAATGCTGATGCTGAGCTCCCCTTGGAGCCTGGAGGAGGCACAGGCTTTGAAGTCTGGCAGACTGACAGACTGCTTCAGAGCTTGCTATCTTTTTGATTTTTTTTCGGACCTTTACAGGATTGTCTCGGAGGGTCCCGGTTATTTTTGAAAACTTCACAGCAGTTTGGCTGAAGGGCAGTTTTGCCTGTAATCAGACATCAGCTGTGAGCAGACCTCTGCAGTGACAGAAAATGGATTAGACCAGGATTTAGGCCTATAATTTCCAAACTCCAGAGGCCCATTAGATAGAACCAGTTTGCTTTGGCACGTTGAATTTTTGTTGCCTAAATAACAGCGCTCCCTCCAAGAACTGGGATGGCTTGCTTATTGGTCCCTTTGCCATTTTGCTGCTCTCGAGGTATGGCTCAAGCATTTCAGACAGGCCTGCCTCCCTGGCCTCTGGCCCAGGGGCCTGCAGCTAGCTGTGTCAATAGGCCTTTGAAGTTCACACTCCCCAGCTGACTGGTCAGCAGCCCCTGGGATCATCTTCACCACGCTTGTCACAGGAAATCAGGAAAGGTATGTGGAAGCTGGTGTTGCCTGAGAGGCGGGGGAAGGAAGACGATGGGGTCCTTGATGAGAATATGGGAGGAATTTACCCAAGTTCATGGTCTAATTCCATTAGCAGGGATTCTTCCTCACTGCTCTTTCTCCTTCTGGCTCAAAAGCCATACATTGAGCTGGTTTATTTTAACCTGATCCAAGTATGTGCCAACTAGTGCTTTTGGGGGGGCTTTAACACAATGACAGTATGTTGTGATGTTGGTGGTTCTGCAAGATCTGGAAAGAGCTTCTGAATCATCAAAACGTGAATATTTGTTCTGGGGAATTTGAGTGCAGAGTGTTATTAAATACTTTTGTATCCTCTGTTTGGGGACCCTGGCATTCTTTCATTCGGCATTCACTTTGCGCTCTCTTTGGACAGATACTTTGCAGGTGCTTTACGTTTTCGTCTTACTTAATCTTCACATCTCTTACTTAATCTTCACATCCGTGAGAAGTATTTTTTTTTAAAGATTTTATTTATTTATTTGAGAGAGAGAGAATGAGAGCCAGAGAGCACAAGAGGGAAGAGGGTCAGAGGGAGAAGCAGACTCCCCGCCGAGCAGGGAGCCCGATGCGGGACTCGATCCCGGGACTCCAGGATCATGACCTGAGCCGAAGGCAGTCGCTTAACCAACTGAGCCACCTAGGCGCCCGAGAAGTATGTTGTTTTTACCCCTATTTTGCAAATGAGAAAAGCTCTGGGAGGTTAAAACGGACGGAGGGTAACCCAGCTAGCAAATAGCATAGCAGGTATACCTAACTGTTCCACTCTTAAGCCCGTGTTCAGAACTTCTCCTCATATTCAAAACCGTACAGTTATCTCCTCCTCCTCTTCATCCTGGCTCTGCACATCCTCTTGGTCACTGAGACCTGTCCTTCACCTTTCCCAATGTCCCTTGCATTTCTTTTCATTCTCACCCCTGGTACTGCATGCTTGGATGGTTGCAGTAGCCTCCTAGTTCACCTTGTCACCAGTCTTTTCCTTTTCCATCCTTTCTGCTCACCCTGCCAGAATCATCTTCCTTTAACACTGCTTTGTCCTAAAATCTGTCATTTAAAATGTTCCAGGGACTTTCCATGGCTCATAGGATAAAGTTAATACTCAAGGTTTGAAATCGAGACCCACCTCTCTACTTCCCACCCCCAGACACAGATGACCTCAAAACTGATTTCTGGCCTTACCCATCACTTCCGGCAATAACTTGATGTTGCCTTGGATTTTTTTTTTTTAATGTTATCTTTTTTTTTTTTTTAACATGTATTTATTTATTTTAGAGAGAAAGGGCAGAGGCAGAGGGAGAGAGAATCCCAAGCAGACTCCATGCTGAGTGCGGAGCCGATGCAAGGCTCCATCCCACGACCATAAGATCATGACCTGAGCTGAAATCAAGAGTCGGAGGCCCAACTGACTGTGCCACCCACGTGCCCCTGCCTTGGATCTTCTGACTCAGGATCTTTGCGCATGCTATACCTTCTGCCTAAAATGTTACACATCTTTCTACTCAGTCTTCCCTCTGTTAAAATCTCACTGTGGCCTGTCTTCAATGAAGACTTCTCTGGTTGCCTTGCAGGAATGATGCCCCCCCCAGAGCATTTTGCAGCACTTAAGTAGTACATGTCACATGTAACACTTCCTCTCTAATCCCAGTGTGATGGTGGAATGCGTGCATGCATGCGCGCCTGCCTCCCCCGCTATGGTCATTGTCGTTAGCATAGTGCCTTGTGCATAGTGGGCCGTTGCTTGGTTGAATGAATGAACTAATGAAGAGAGGAAACTAAATGGGAAGAAATAAGCCACTTTTTGGGTGTTTACTGTGTGCCAGACAGTGTTCTTAGTACTTTTACAGGTAATAATTCCTTTAATCCTTGCATCTACCCCAAAAGATAGGTGATACTATTGTCCCCATGACAGAGATGAGGAAACCAGGGCCCAGTGAGCTGAACTGACTTGTCAAAGAATTAATGATAGACCCAGGATTCAAATTCACACAGTCTTCCTCCAGAACCTAGGTTCTCACTATGCCTACCTCTCCGTGGACGGTCCTGACCCTGATAGGTTCATTCACATAGGCGTTACCTCACGGACTTTAAGATTTATCATGTGTGACAGGTTCGGGAGAGTGTGAGAATGGTTAAGATCCAGGCTTCCTCTTCTGTGTCAGTACACGAAGACTTGCCCACCTCAGCAATGTGCATTGGGCCAGTTGGCGAGCCAATATAACCAGTCCCAGGTGCTGGAGCTCCCCAGGTGACAGGTGCTATGTAAAGATGAAGGACATGTTTCATGTTCTAGGAAACATGGTAACTTGATTACACAGCCGTCAGACTATGGTCCTGGGTCTCCTAGAACAGTCCACGTTAAGCATGAGATGATTACTTGGTTAATAATCCTAATTAGCCTCGTACACTTACCCTATGTTTATCACTCCTGTCTCATAATCAACTTCTATATTTTCCTTAACTTTACAACTCAATCTGTGTACCAGAGTGACGGCAAACCCATATTTATCTAATTTAGTGAACATTTGCATGTGCTGCAATTAGACTTACATGTTGTGTGATCAACATCCTTTGCTAATTGCATAATTCCTTTTGCATTTAATTGTCAGAAGGCATCCTTTCTGTGTGTGTGTGTGTGTGTGTGTGTGTGTGTGTGTGTGTGTGTGTGTGTGTCTCCATGGTTTGCTGCTGGTTGGGAGCTGCATGTGGAATTGCAGGCTGAGGCACCTGCCATGACAGAACTAAAGGCCTTCCCCGAGAGCTGGGAGGAACCTCCTTCCTTGTTTACAGGTGAGGAAACAAGTCCCGAGAGAGTGAAGGGACTCCTATCCAGTTAGCTCAGTCCTGGGAAGTCCTGAAGGCACGGAAGGATGAACACATCTGCAAAGGATATCCCCCCCAAACCATTCCAGTGTAGAAATTCCATGAATAATTCAAACCAGTCTTGACA